ACGGCGGGATTGTGCGACCTTGCCGCCGCATTGTGCTGCACCTGGAATGCAGTGGCAATACAGGGACAGTGGTACCTCGAGAGAAAATACGCGCTGTGTAATTGACTGACCAAAGTCCGTTAGCTTCATGCTAACGCGTCATAGCAAACGCCGTAGGCAAGATTGGCATTATGATTGCGGCGCTTACATAATCAACCATTCAGCAAGTTTCTCTTGAACACCAACCGCGACGACACGTGTCGATTGACTGTATAACAATGCTCAAAGGGACATATTCTTTATCCTCTGAGGAACACAACGAATATTGCTGAAGCTCTGAAGCTCAGTTCAGTTTATTAATTTATTCAGACATATTTTGACGACCAGCCACGTACTCACTAAACATAATATACCAAAGGGAAAATAGCCAGAAGCATGATGTTATTATGCTTTCCCCCCTGTACATGTTTTTCCCCATACCCCAAAACAAAAGATGAACTAGATTTTCTCCCCAAAACACATTTCTTAATTGTCCTGCTGTTTTGCTCTTCAAAGTTGAATGTTCTCTGCTGTAATGCGGTTCCAGCCAGGCCAGATGTCTGTAAAATGTGTAATTAATCACAGAAGCACTTATTTGCGGTATTTGACGTGCTAGCGGTCTCATTCGTTGGTTAGCTTAGTATTTAGCATGGCTCCGCGTCTTTTGTCGTCATCCCGTCGTGAGTATGATGCTAGTCAGAGATGGAAGTGATTCACCGCAACGGAGGTGATGCTTACTGACTTAGGAGCGACTCCGCAACAAGTTTAGGCGCACTCGTAGCTAGCTGTAGCTGTTGCTAGCTAGCTACTTACTTCTCGGGCTCCTGACCACCCGTGCTGGTGGCGTGAGTTTTTGAGGAGCATCTTGGTGGATCTTTTACTTCTGATACTGAAATTTGACGGTTGTCTCGGCGTTTGAGTCTCAGTTTTACGATATGATATTTGTTGATGAGGCGCAAAATATTAATTTGCAAGTATTATGTGTCAGGTATGGACCTGTACAGTGCTTTTTTTCCTTATTTAAAGCAGAAGACAACAATTTCTGTTGGTGTTTTTGGGGAGCTAGAACGAATGAATGGCTTTTCCATTATTTCAATTGGGAAATATGATTTGAGATTCAGTTTTTGAGTTGAACTACTGTACTGTGTTCCATGACATGAGAAACACCAGCTCCCCCATCTCACTTCTCGTCTTTTGCTCTTCCTCAAGCGCTCACTCTCACCGTCTTCGTCTTGTTCCTCGCAGTTCTCCGAGCCTTTGATTTCTCTTCTCTCGTTGAATGATATCAAGCACGGGGGAAAGTCAGACAAAGAGACGCAGATGGAAGGGTTTTGGGGGGAAGGAAGGAGGGAGAGCGAGCGCGACATGCTCCAGAGCAAAGACGCAGATAAATAACATTTCCTTCCAACAGCGGGAGATGCTAATTAAAGAGGATAAAAAGTCAGAGGATGACGCCGCTCCTTGTGGCTTTCTGATCTACACGCTGAGAGTCAATATGGCTTTCATCACCCCAATCTCACTTTCCTCTCTTCTTTCGTCTTTTTTCCTCCTTTTGTCTTGAGGGATTGTCAGCTCGCCTCTTTCCTTCTGCAATAGACTTGTTTCGGGTCAAATCAAGTGGAACGCTTAATTGGTCGTGGAAAAACATTTGGAATGGGATTATCGTCTTATGGTCACGTTACAATCAGTTAGACGTGGTGTCTGGTGGAAAGCCCGACCTTGGCTTCCTCAGCCACCGTGCGCAAATACGATCATTTCAACCGAAAACCCATTCTGGTGCCGTTAGGACTGCACCCATGGATACATCGGGGAAACCCAGCAACCAGTGAGTGAGCGCGTGTCACAACACAGGCAGACCAACTCCTCAGCTCAAGACTCAACTGTGTTCCTGCATCTCAAATGAAAAAATGGACGTATTCTGCACCAAGGATGGGTTTCAAAGCAGTCATATACCGCAAAGTGTTGCTTTTCTCACTTGGGTAATCTAACGACAGTCACTTTGCAAAGTGTGACTGTATGAGGTCCCCACATTTCATGATTATGTTTATAAAACAATGTACATTATTATGTCCAAATAAGGCCAAAACAAACTGACTTAAAAAAAACATTTATGTGAAGTTTAGAAAGACTACGCCGTCAGTGGCACGGTGAAGGAGTGGCTAGCGTGTCGGCCTCACAGCGCAGAGGTGCAGGGTTCGATTCTGGCTCCGGCCTTCCTATGTGGAGTTTGTAGGCTCTCCCCGTGCCTGCGTGGGTTTTCTCCGGGTACTCCGGCTTCCTCCCACATTCCAAAAACATGCCTGGCAGGCTGATCGAGCACTCTAAATTGTCCCTAGGTGTGATTGTAGCGCGGATGGTTGTTCGTCTCTATGCGCCCTGCGATTGGCTGGCAACCAGTTCAGGGTGTACCCCGTCTACTGCCCGAAGACAGCTGGGTTAGTCTCTAGTGCACCCGCGACCCTCGTGAGGATAAAGCGGTTCAGACGATGGATGGATTGGTATATCTCACCATTTTCGGATCCGCTTTCTTATAAAATGCATGTATTCTACTCTATCGCTATTAACATCGAAATAATTGGAGGAGATTTCAAGAATGCTGCTTGTTCTTGTGTGTGCTTAAAGCCCCCTGACCCTATCTTTGTTGTCTGTTTTCGAATTCCTCTCTGGAAGGGCGATACTGTCCCCCTGGGGTCATTTTTGTCCATGTCTCACCTGCACCGGCCAGGCAGTCCATGAACGTGGGTGACAAATAGGGCCCGACAGGTGGCCCCGTGTTTTTGGCCCGGGAAGACGGGATTGCCTGTGTCACGGTCAGACGGCGGCACGACACAAAGCGACACCATTTCAAGTCTCATCTTTGCAGAGTGTTGATGGAGTCACTCTTGCAGCATCAGTGTCTTCATAATTCTTGCCGTGGGCTGCAGTCGAACGCTCAACGTCCGTTTTTAAGGCTGTTGAAGGCTCCTTGATCAGACATCAGAAGACACGACAAAGGCCAATTTCATGGTCTCTTTTCTTACAAGGGGTTGTTCAAGCCTACCGCTTGGCCCATTTCAAACCTTAAAGTCTCCGCTCAGCAAATGCCAGCCCGCCAATGTTCACGTCACGGAAAAAGGACAAGCAGCGGCCCTGCAGCCAAAAGAATCTTATTTCATTGCAAGAATGTAAATTTCTCCCGCTTGCCCGTAAATCTCGCCGTTGTGCTCACTCCATGTTTCCATCCGAATCGGCGTTGTGACACTAAAATGCCACATTAGGGACATCCCATAATACAATCGCGGGATGCTCCTTTCTCACGCGTGTTCACTTACAGAAGGAGCTGCCTTCGTCCTTTGTGCCTTCCATGGTGCCGTCCGGCAGCATTTGAAGGTAGAACCCGTGGCGGCAGTACAGGCGCGTGACGATGCCCTTCAGCTGCGGCTCTGCGAAGCAAGCACACGAGGAAAGGGTTACACAGACGGACGTGCACGGGGAAGGAAAGCCAGAGTCCTGATATTTGCACTGGGAACTGGTCAAATAGTAAAGTCGCTGCGATGCGTGCGGCTGTGACCTTCTGCGGGATTACCGAGACGGCACGTCGTTGTTTGCTCTGTGCGAGAGGCGGTGCTATCGTCACCGAGCCAATCGATCGCCGTATCACATCGGCATCCTAAAACATCCACAGTGACCGTCTCCCTTTTATTATTGCCGTTTCCTCTCTTTATGGCCAATCCCACCATGTTTTTGCGGTTCAGTATAAATTAATACAGCACACTGCGGTTGGATCCCCAACGCCGGGTCTTAGTTTTATACGCCGCCGCGTGTCAGAAGAAGCTTTGGGCTCAGTGGCTCGGTGTACGCGGAAGAGTCGATAATGGTGAATTTTTTTTGGGGGGGGGGTCACTTTAGCTTGGCAGTCCTGCTCATATCGGGTTTCTGTTTCGCAGTGGGCCAATTTGCGGCCGAATTATGATCTTGTGCCTGTCGTACGCAGTCCGAGGACGCTGCAAACTAAAGAGCCGAAGACGGCGACTTAGAAGAAGCATTGCGCAAGTGTTCCCGCGATCAACTTTTAATGAGGAGCATCAACTATGAATGAGAACAGAGATATACGGGAGCAGTTGGCAGTTTGCCCCGAGACGGCAGCAGGCTTGTGTGTGCGCGGCGGCGTGTGCGCATGAGCCTTTCATCGAAACGCACCTCCGTGTAAGAACGAATTCTCTCACCGTCTTGTTCAGCACATCTCTGTAAATCATTTACGGCGACAAAATGTAATCATTTCAACGCACCCGTTTCACATTGCTTGAAATGTCAATCCGTAATCAGGTAAAGAAATCGTCAACAAACAGAACGCCGTGGCCTCCGATTGGACGCCAGGGCCTCAGCGAGGAGGACCGACGTTTCGTAAAGCGTCGCAGAAAAAAAGCTCACCCGTTCGTGGTCGGCTGGCCGGACGCAGAAGGTCAAACTGGAGTGTGTTAATCTGGAATATCCTGAGTGTTAATCCCAAATTAAGCCTCAAATCACACCGTCGGCCATGTGCCGCTTTGCACATCTGCTTTGGTGTAACCCCAAAGCGGTTGGAGCAGGCCGTTGTTGACCTTCAGAATATAAAGTAAAACTGTACTTCTACCACGGCATCTCGAAGGCCATTGCATTTTTTTGTTTCGAATTTTGCGCAGAGCTGATGTCTCCCTGCGGCAGAGGCTGACCCTTCCCATTGCGTGATCTGCATACCGCGACGCAACCGACGCAACCGACAGCTGGAGACAGAGCACCGTCAACTTTGGCTTTACACCAGCCAGAATGCGGAACGCTACATATGCGTTTGATGTTCCGTATTGTTTAAAAGTCAAACTGGGCCATCCACCGTTTTTCACCGCCGCCGCAAAGGTCAACGTCGTTGACCAAAGAAGCTTTTTGGAGAAAGTCCTGCTTGACTGCAGCCACGTGCCACTTCCGACAAAACCACTTCCTGCCTCTTTTCCACAGTTAATAAGCTTGTTACTCCCTACTGACTCCAATATTCTCTCTCTCTCACTCTCCCGCTTGCTCGCTCTCTCACTCTCTCACCATAAGCATGAGACGCCCCGGGCTATTAATCTGTGGATATACGGTATGGATTTTACAACCGGTAATATTTCAGCCCTCAGCATTTATGGCATCAAATGGTAAACACATGATGGAACATGTGGAGTCATGGTGACAGAACATCGAAGGCAAGGGCGAGGCGAGATCATTTTGACCGCAAGAAGAGCAAGCGAGTGTGATCGAGGACCTTTAAAATAAACTACTTCTCTTTCTTGTTGACCACTAGATCAGCCGCCGCCTCACTTTTTCTGAACCATTTTGGGGGGGGGGGGAATCAATAGGGTCCTTGAGAATTATCGAGAAAGTACAAAGCCACACTCGAGGTCACCCGAGACACGCGCAAGACAAACTCCGCTTCAAGCCGACTCGAGAAAAAAATAACCGTTTATCGGGTGAAGTCGACGTAAAAAATAATAAATAACGAGGCAAGCTGCTTGCGCACTGCCCAGAGGCTTTGAGGATGTTGTTATTTATCTACTTTGTAATAGGATTACGATGGTCACATTGAACCGGGAGCCGTTCTTTTGGATTTCCATTTCATCTTCATCTGTCGGAGCGTTGGCAAGGACACTTTGAAAAAAACGTGCCTTTGCCTGATGGAAAGGTTGCGCGTTCCAAACGTGACGCGATTTGAGCTGCAAACACAGGGCTCAATGATTTTGACTTTTGCGTGGGATTGTTTTACCTGCGCCATGACGGGATCTTAAACTTAAAGGTTGAGACTTGTGACTGACTCCCACTTCTGCTGATCACTCGCTGAGAGCTTACGAATAGCCGACGGTCGAGAACTGCTAACTGAACGGGCGGTGGTGAATGGGCGGTGGTGAATGGACTCGAGCAATTAAAAAAAAAAAAACTTCCGAAAAGGCAAAGGCAAACATACAGATGACGAGGTCAAACTGTACCCTAAGAGTGAATGATATAAAGCTTAAAACAAACAAAAAAAAAAGGGGCCTAATGATCGAGTCTGGGGGACAAAAGAAGCCGCTGGAGACGAAAGCGCCAGAGAGTGCGTGTGGGGAGGAAGATAAGCAGACGGGATAAAGGGCCAGATAGAAAACAGGATGAGAGAGAGAGAAGACAAAGGCGTACATCAAGTGAGGAGCCGGCAGTGGGGGTGGGGGTGGGGTGAGAGACGACGTCCGGTGTGTGTAAATAGCCTCAAAAGCAAGTGCAATGCCACAGGAACTTGCTTCTGGAACTGGGATCCGAATTTGAGGCACATTTCTCATCAGTTTCCAGAAGCAAAAGTTGTGAGGGGCACCAAAATGGCGTACTTAGCACCGAGTAGGGTCGGGGCGGGGGCACAGCTCGGCATTCTTGCTTCCTTGTCCAATGAATCGACGCTACTCTCTGATGCCACATCAGGATCTGCCCTTGCAGCTAGCGCCGGGCTATAGAGGTTTCCCATCAATCAAGTTGAAGAGCGTTTTTCTTCAGCGGCAGCAGATATGGCCAAATAGAGTCGAAATGGATTTGGGCAGTTGCATGCGATTAGATAAGTAGCGAACGGCGAGCGAAGGTGAGGAGATAGTATCTGCAGAAGGTGGCACGGGGGACATGAAGCCGAGGACGAGGATGCGAAGGGCGATGAAGGTCGAGGAGGTGCGAGAGGGAGGCGATGATGATAGCGGTGCGGGGAGATCGATCACCTCGCCGTTGTAATGAAAAGGAAGTCAATGAAGAGGAACCACAATTCCCACCCACGCGCAGTTAACTCTCCCCTCTCCTCTCTGTATCGCTTTTTTTGCCCCGCCTCCTTTGGTAGCCTCCATCTTTCAGCTGTTTAATGCAGTGTTGTACGTCTCCGCTTCATGCTAAGTGCACACCCCTACCAAGATGAATGGCAATGTTCCTCCAGGAGCCATTAAGGGGCAAATACAAACCAATTTCCTGTCCATAGATGCTCTCCAGATGACACTTGAAGTGTAAGACTCCATCAGTCACCGGCACAAGTGACGGCGACAAAGTGGCACAATAACACTTCTGAAAGAACCTGCATATGTCATTCTAGACCGGGAGGGTGCAGCATCATGTGGACTTTTAACCCATTGGGCCTTTGATATTGACTAATTTCGGAAGAAACACTCAACTCGACTCAACTAAGATGAGTTTGAAAGATGGGCACTTGCTTAACATTTAACGGAAGGTCATTCCAAAGAGAGGGACTAGTAGCGGAAAAAGTTCGAACCCATTTCAGGCTCCACTTGGTAACTCCGGTAGAATCTGATTTGCTGACCCGAGGCACCGGACAGGTACAGTATGTTGGGATGGAGGTGCTCACAGAGGTCAGGTGACGCGAGACCATTTGAAGACAAATAAAAGAATCAGAAAATGAGCTCTAAAATGTCTAAGGAGCCAGTGAAGGGCAGCCAGAATTGGTGCTGGTCCAATTTAAAATCACCGTGCAATTTCAAAAACAAATCCCAAACTGTTGGCTTGGGATAAGATGGCAAGGGACCCAAATCAGCAAGGTGAGATGTACAAGGGCCACTGGGACCAAACACTATAACTTCTGTTTTCTTTTCCTTGAAGTTCAAGAAGTTTAGTGCCATTCAGGTTTTGATTTCCTCCAGACAAGACAAAAGTAGCCCAATGGTGAAAGTGCCCTTTTTGCATCGCAGTGAAAGTAAATATCATGCTTTCTTAAGATGGAACTCAGAGGCAGCAAATACAATACGAACAGCAGGGGTCCCAAAATTGAACCCTGTGGAACACCATAAGACTCACTCAGAGAAACAAGGCTACCATCAAAAGTCCTGCCTGCCAGACAAAGACTCAAAATAGGTTCGATATATTTGAATCAGCCTATTTTGTCACAAATGGTTTTCAGAAGGAACTGGTCAGCAACAAAGGACATTGTGTGCATCATTTCTTGCATCACACATGGAGCTTAGAACTTCGAGAAAGCATTTGGGAAGACGACGCAACCACAGTCATTTTGCTTTTGTGAAGTATTGATTTTTTTTTTTAATCTGGTCAAACTGTTGGTACAGTTCTTTCGTGAATTAACTTTGTGATTGATCTGATTTTTGAGATACCATTTCATTTTTCCGCTCGAGAGCAACGATATGAAGAGCTCTTTGACGGAGAGAATGAGACGTGCGGTCGTACCTAATGTTTTGGCTGCCGAGTGTACACGTCGCTCACCTCCCGCCTCTCTTCTCCTTCCAACCCTGCATGGCACAATGCTGAGCCAGCACTTTTTGCTCCTTCATGTCTCTCTCTCTCTCTCTCTCTCTCTCTCTCTCTCTCTCTCTCTCTCTCTCTCTCTCTCTCTGTGTTTCTCTCGCTCACCCTCTCTCATTCTTCTCCATGCTTGCTCTGTCATAGCCTCTCTCAGAAGCCACAG